CTACCTCCTAACATCATCACCCCACTAGACGTCAACCCTCACACACCTCATGCACTCAACTTCCGCCTCCCACGCAAGTGGGAAGTGTGCATCTCGGCTCGGTCCCCATGCGGCCTCGGCTGCACGAGTGACTTGAGTCCGAGACTATCCCGACACGTCAAGTGTCGTGGATAGGAAGGTTGCTGATTGCCGCCCGTTCTCGGTTCACGCAGTTCTTCACGTTGTGTGTGTGTGTTGTGTAGTGGCGGACTGGTGGGCTGGGGACGGGCTGAAGCAGCACCTTCCACGGCTCTCTCACGCATGTGAGAGACACGCCGTTCAACCCCCGTTGTGTGAAATCCTGGTGTTTGTGTGTATGGGGGGCCAGCTCGTGCTGTGGCGCGCGCAGGCATGGTCAGTCGACCGTGGCAGCCACCGCGCCCATTCCCCACTCCAGTCTACTGACCGGCTCGGACAGTGGCTGGGGTGTGGGAATGGGAAGGGAGAGTGAGGTCGACGACTCAGCGCATTTTCCTCACTATAAACAATCTGACGCGCTTGAAGCTATCACGGTGCGCTAAAAGCCGTGGCTTGGAAGGTTGCCAACTGACGGGGTACCTTGCACCTCCTCCGTTACTGGAGGCGGTCTGAGAGTCAGGCTGCAATGGCTCCTTTTTAATGTGGCCTTTATGGCATTCCCACCACAGTGTGGGATCCGAGCCAGGCGTTGGCGGCACGCCCAGGTGCGGCTTCGGCCGTGCCAGCCTCCAAATCTATGTTGTGTTGGTTCAAATCCTGGTTATTGTTGTGTGGACCAGAGGGTGTGGTGGAACGCCAAGGTGAGGATCCGTCCGAGCCATCCACCTGCGGCCTCCCTCGTCTCCGGTCTTCTTGACTCTGTCTTGACACCGGGCTCGGACGAGGGAGGAGGAGAGAGTGTAGGTAGATGCTACGCAAGTCTACTGGCACTATAAACCCCTGCGTAAGTCACCGTCCCTGCTCCCACCGCTGTTGCAGCTGTGGGGCACACGGTGGACATCGTCGAAATCGACGGTCGAACTGTCAAATAGCAAAAATAGTCCCTTTTGTAATCTACGGAACCATAAAGGATCAAGGCCCGTAAGCCGGCAACGTTCTTGGTAAGACAAATGTCGGTGTTCCGCGGCTAAAATTCTCTTGGTAAAAAAGTGTTGAACGGATTCTATTTTCTTCCGCTCAGTAGCACGCATGAGGGTAAATAAAAACGAACAGTATTCCAGACCAGGTCTAACGTACATGTTGTAAAGGCGCATTCTGATGTCCCTAGTTTTAAAATTTCGGAGGATAAACCCGGTCGTTCTGCGTGCTTTGGAGACTATCAAGGCACAGTGCTCCGAGAGATTGAGACTCTTGGACTATGATATGCCCAGATCCTTTATAACCCTGGGCACATTTATGGAGTGACCTTCAATATTTAGTTGAGGTTGGTGGTCGTCGCCAACCACCATGACTGAGCACTTATGCCAAGAAAGAGAAAGGCGCCATGTGCGGCGCCACTGGGCGAAAGCCTGTAGATCGCTCTTTAGGAGCTCAAGCACGATGTCACGATCTGCTGGCTTATATCGATATGCAAATTTAAGATCATCGGCATACTTGAAAGGCTTACCATTCTGAAATAAATCGGGTACATCATTAACGAAAAGACAAAAT